GGCAGAGCCAGGAGCTGGGGCCGGACCGAGGTCCCCCTGCCCTACACTGGAGGTGATGGGGACACGTGCACAGGTGTGTGCCCAGGCCAGCATCTCATCATCCCCATTCCTGCATGTCACATGGGTGCCACCGCTGCATCCTTCCTCCCCAGGCTCCTGTGGACAGAGGGGCAGCAGTGTCCAGCCCTGACTCTGTTTGTGGGGGCTCAGGGGGCCAAGGATAGGAGCAGGGAAGGGGGAATGGAAGGTGCCTGGACAGTGTGTGGCAGCTCAGAAAAATGGTGTTTCCTATGCCAGCGGGCTGGCCTGCTCCTCCCCACTCGTCCTCTCACACCACCACTGCTGCCCCTCAGGTCCCGCCTGGCCTCACCAGCCCTGCTGCTCTCTGCAGCCCTCCTTTCCCACTGGAGCATCCCTGGCAGATGCCATTACCAGCCTCTCACCCCTCCCTGCTCCTCGGTGATGAAGACATCCAGTGCAGCTGCTGCTGCCTCTGGTCCCCGCAGCTCCTCATGCCTTCACTGCTGCTTCCCCTGGGTCCTTCCTCATCGTCCCACCCAGCTTTCTGTGAGGTCTGGCCCCACTCTAGGGAGAAGCAACCTGCCGCCACCTCCCACTGTCCCACGGTGAGCAGGGCTCGTCCTTCCTGGGGCCAGGGCTGTCCCCATGGTGAGCACCCTGACCCCGCTCCATGAGCAGCTTGGAGCTCCACGCCGGTGCATGTGCAGGGCCAGGTGCTGCTTTGTATGGATGGTGCAGCATTTGGGGTAATGAAATATTCACAGGTCAGTGGTTCCGTGAGAAATGATGGGGATCAGTCAATTCCTTTTCAGGGAGTAATTTTCTTCCCCTTCACGGCCTCTGTTTCATGTTGACAGTCATTAGCATGAATGAGCTGCCGGGTCGAAGAGGGGACGTTGTGGCTGTCACGCAGATGAGCCGTGCTGGGCACGGTGATGGCTGGGGGGGCCCAGGGTGCATGGGGGGCATGTGGGGCCATGCCAGGACCTTCCTGCCTCCATGGGGGCATTTGCTGAGCCCATCTCTGCAGCCCAGCGTGCTACACTGCTGTGCTCTGGAGCAGTGGGCACAAGGACAGATGGTCCCATTGGCCTCCCTGGTTGCTGCCTGCTCTGTCTCCTGATGGTGGGCACAGGTCCACAGGGGACCTTGGGAATTGCTCAATACCCTTCCCTGAGCACAGCAGTGACCTCAGGCTGCCTCATAACGTGGCAAGGGGATGCCCTGTCCTCCGTGAGCGGGCAGAAGCCACTCCAGGTCACAGCAACGCGCTTTCTGCCTGCACTCTCTGCCCATGCTGTTTGCCCTCCCTGCCCTCCCTGCCCTGCCTGTGCTGCCTGTGGGATGTGCCCACTGAGGCTCTGCAGCTTGCAGAAACACCTAGGGGGCCTCTGCAGATGCTGTGGTGGGGGAAGGACCTCAGCCCCATTTCCCCCCCCCATAGGAGGTGTCTGGTTCCCAGCAGGAGGAGTGGGACAGCTGCAGCAATAGAGACCACTGTCAGGGTGGGGAAGTGTGTGGTGACAGGACTGTGTCCCCTCTCCAGCTGCTCCGGGGCTCCACATGCCGGCTTCAAGCCCAGCTGCACATGAGCGGGTGGTGCTGTGACCAAGCAGGTTCAACCATGACCAGGCAGTGCCATGCCATGACTGGGTGGTGTCATGCTGTGACTGGGCAATGCTGTGCCGTGCTGCCTCTGCACCATCAACACTGCATAGTGCGGGAAGGACCCAGCTGCAGGCAGAGCTGGCTGGTGGGAGTTGGCATGGGCTGGAGATGGGAGTGGGGCCAGGCCAAAGCAGCAGGGTGGTCATGAGGCTTTAGAGGAAATTAGGCCTGTCTGTGGTGGCTGCGGCTGTGGTGGCAGCAGGGTGCAGGTGCTGGTGTGCGGCCGATAACCCCAGGCACTCACTCGTGGCACCATCGCTGTGCTGGCAGGATGCCTGTTGTGGGCAGGGTTTGGTGGCCCGTGGCAGGGTGCTCGTGGCCAGCGGGTGCCCCATTGTTAGCACAGGGCTCTGCACTCGGCTGATTGCTCTGACCCATCCTCTGGGTCTGGGGGCTCTCGGTGCATTATTTTCTTAAAAAGGAGCAAATGTGGGAAACGGCGTTGTCAGCCCCAAGCTGACAGGCACAATCACCAAAGTGCGGCGTCGGCAGGAACCGGCCCCACACGCTAAATGACTTGAAAGGAAATGGCCTGGATTGTGCTGAGGAGGCAGAGTACAGGGGGAGAAAGCAAGTGGAGCAAACAAAAAAACTTCATTAATTAAAGAAACTCGTTAATGAGGGACATTTAATCAGCTAAAGATGATATCTACCCACTGCCTGCTGCAGCAGCCGTTGCGCAGGGCTGGTGGTGCAAGACTGAGCCATGGGCAGGGCAGGGGACACCATGGAGAGGATGCCAGGCAGCAGCCACTGGGCAGGGGACACCATACAGGGGACTCTGCACAGGGGAACTTGGGGTCCCCGTCCCAGCCTCTCCCCTGCTGTCCCTGGGGCTGTGGTGTTTCAGCACAGGGCTGTGCCACAGTCCTGGCAGTACCTGCACAAGCAGGTGGGCAGTGGAGGTGGTGGAGTGCTACTTGTGTCTCCTGTGCCATGTTAAATGCCACCGGCTTTGCTCCAGGCTTGGGCACTGCACTGATCTGTCTCGTTTTAAATGAGGCCAAGGACTATTAATGATCAGCATTTCTTTTATTGCAAGTGCCGAAAGCACCGTGTGGGAGCATTCCCACACCCCAGGAGGAACAGGTACTGTGGGAGCAAGGGATGTGTGTCAGAGCACCTGTCCCTAGCACCCACGGGCCAGCACTGTGCCACGGGCTCCCCACATGGCCAGGCACACCAGGCTGGGGGCACCTGGGCTGCCTCTTCTGGGCTGCAGAGCTGGGTCCCCCAGGACCTCTGGGTGCTCAGTGCAGGGAGGGACCCCGAGAAGGGGCCACAGTAACCGCCTGGGAGGAGCGGGGGGCCCCTCGCTGCCCAGGGCTGCCCGGGGATGGGGCTGTTCCGGTGTTGTGGGCAGTGTGGGGTGCAGAGCTGAGCAGCGGCTTTTTCCCTGTGATGTCAGCAAGCATCACACAACCAAACCCACCTGCATCCCCCTCCCTGTGGAGCCCTTGCCCCCAGCCCCCACCAGCCACTGAGCATCCCTGTCCCCGGTGGGGGTGGCTGGGTGCTGGAGCCAGTGGGAGGCACTGGGAGCCCTGGATTTGCATCTCTGCAGCACCTGCAGCCCCGGCACTGTGAGCAGCAACCAGGGGAACCTAATGGTCCCTGAATGAAATAATACCCGGGTTGACAGGCTCTGCGACAGCCCTAATTAATAACTGGTATGAACATGGCTGTCGGGACAGGCTGACGAGGGGCCAGCAGGGCCCAAGATCTGGGCAGGTCGGGACAGTCCCTGTCCCAGCACCCATCTCCATCCCCCTGCCCCCAGTCCCCACATGGTGGTGGCTGATCCTGGCTGTGGTGACAGCTAGGATGAGTGTGCCAGGCAGGAGGGATGTGGGCTGCTCCTTTCTCTGTGCATGCAGGCAAGGCAAAGATGGGCACTGGGAATTAGGGATGCAGCAGGGAGGGTCACACTGGAGGTGTGACCGCTGTGACTGTCGGTGTCTGCCTGCTCCCTGGAGCAGGGTTGGATAGAACCCTCCAGCCTGCCAGGTGGCATTAGCACCTGCGGTGTGGGCAGGAGTGATGTGGGCAAGAGCAGTTCCTGGCTGCCCGTCTTGGGGCAGCACCGGCGATGGGCTCGGCTCCTGCAGCGTGGCAGCCCCGGCCCACGCTGGCAGGTGCCTCAGGCTGGCGCATCCCCGAGCAGCTGAGTCAGCACGGCCGGCGCTGCCGGTGCTGCCGATGACTTGCAGATCTGCAGCGGGGCTATTCCCGCTGGGTTTCCATGTGTCCCCGGCGCGGCTCTGCCGCCGCCCTCGCAGGCGCGACGGCCCTGTGGGCTGGGGATGGCAGCTGCCAGCGCGTCCCCTCTGCAGCCCTCTGCCATCCCCCAGCAACATAAATTCGCGACACACACAATTAAGGAGCTTGTCTCCTCAGGCTGAGCCACAGATGGATTTCACGGGCGAGAGGCTGCCACGGCACGTTGTAAAGCATCTGGGGGGCTGCGGGCACTGCCCTGCGTGGCCTCGGGGCTGCCGTGGGGGCTGCGGCCGCGCCGTGGTGGGCGGCTGTGTGCGGCACACACGTGTGTGAGGGGGGAGAGCCCACGAGGGCACGCTGGGCTGTGAAGATGGACAGTGGGTGAATGGGTGGATGTGCAGGAAAGGTGCAGGCTGTGGGCTGCACAGCCATGTGGGTGGCACCTCCAGCCCCCCACAAACCCCCAACAGTCTTTGGCCTTTGGCGTGGGTGCAGCTCACCCAGTTTGACCGGGGCAGCCAGGCCCACTGCGTTAGAGCAAAAGGCCTAATCAAATATTTAGCAGTTAATTGATCCCTGTACGGTGTTTGCCAAGGGGCCATCAGCATTCCTCCCTGCCTCGCCTCCCTGCCTGCCCAGCCCCGCTCCCCTTCACTGCCACCACTGGCACTGGGACACTGGCAGGTGCCAGTGCTGTGCAGCCCCCCACAGCAATGCTGCCAGTTGGGCTCTGCTTTGCCCCACATTGGGCTTCAAAATGGGGTCTGCCTGGGTCTCCCTCCCCAAGGGCAGAGATGTGCCAGCTTCAGGAGTTAAACCCCACGGAGAAGTGTCCATCCTCCTACCCAAGCCCCAGTGTACTAGGTAGACAGGGCCTCAGAGGGGGAGAGGATCGGGGCTCAGCTGATAGAAACGTGAGCCCAGAGCCACTGCAGCACAGAGACAGACCAGGGTTTGGGGGGGCTGTGGAGCAGTGGGGTGGGGGGCCTGGGTCTGGCTGCGGGGACCAGGACTCCATCTGTGGGCAGGTGGCAGCCCAGGCACCCCAGGTACGCCAGCGGCTAAGGGGGACGGTGCCACTCTCTTGGCAGGGTAACCAGGACACCACGGCTCCGCCGGACGCGATGGCTCAGCCCTACCCCCCGGCCCAGTACCCCCCACCCCCCCAGAACGGAATCCCCGCAGAGTACGCACCACCGCACCCCCACCCCACGCAGGACTACTCGGGGCAGAGCACAGTACCGGAGCACGCCATGACCCTCTACACACCAGCACAGAGCCACGCCGAGCAGCCAGGCACCGACGCCAGCACACAGTCCATAGCAGGGACACAGACAGTACCGGTAAGGCAGCGGGTCAGGGGGCACGGGGGGGCCGAGGGCATTGCTGGAGCATCTGGGAGGGTGCTGGGGCAGTGCTGCCTGGCTGCACTCCCACGGGGCACCGGGCTGGGTGCTCCCACCATCACCTCTCCTCGTAGCATCCCCCCTCAATTCTAATCACTTGTAATCCACCTGCTTGGCTCTGGTCCACCAGATCATGGCAATTACAGGGCTGGAACTCAGCACTGGGAAAGCGCTGAGCTCAGCATTTCCCAGTGCTTCCACATGGCCCCACAGGCAGTGTCTGCACCCCTGCCTCAAGCACCCCCGCAGCCCTGCCATCATCCCCCCGGCTCACCAGGATGCAGGGACACCCATGGGGTGCTGCCTGAAGCTTGGGGACCACTGGTTTCAGGGTGTCCCTGGGGGCAGGCAGGGCCAAGCACGGGGCAGGGGGACATTCCCCAAGACTGGAGCCCCAGCAGGGACATGAGTCTGGCACGGCCAGGGGCTGATGGTGGTGGTGCCTCCCACAGCAGACAGACGAGGCGGCACAGACAGACAGCCAGCAGCTACATTCCTCAGACAACACAGACAAACAGCAGCCTAAGAGGTTACACGTCTCCAACATCCCCTTCCGATTCCGGGACCCTGACCTGCGACAAATGTTTGGGGTGAGTCCAGCCCCATCCAACCACCATGTCACCTGCTCCCTGCTCAATGCTGCCCTGTGTCACCATCGGGACACTGACACTGTCCCCTTCCAAGGGCCCATCCTGTGCGTGGAGTGACACAGAGCCCTTGTCTCCCCTCACTGTCCCCTTCCTAGCCCTCATTAGGACTCAGAGCAGTGCTGGCTAATGAGATTTTGGGTGACACTCCCAAAGTCCTGGCAGAGTGGGAGCCGTGGGAGGGATGAGGGCTCTCCCCTGCATGGCCCTGAGAGTCCCTGGGCCTGGCCCCCAAGGCAGCCCCTGGCCCATCCCTGGCACAGAACCCCATGCCAGAAGCCCCAGGTGTGGGGCCGGGGGCTCTACGGGCACTCACCCTTCTGTTCTCTCCACTTGCAGCAATTTGGGAAGATACTGGATGTGGAGATCATTTTCAATGAGCGGGGCTCCAAGGTGGGTGCTGCCCACAGCTGGCACCATATGGCAAGTCCTGGGGAGGGGGTCAGCGGAGCCGGGTTGCCTGGCAGCACTGTAACCTGCTCTCCTCTCCTGCCCCAAGGGATCTTGGCATGGGATGCCCCATCTCGGGGTAGCTCCTGCACCAACTGGGGTGGCCCTGGCACTGGAGGGAAGGAAGGGCTTGCTCTGCCCCCCCACAGGCAGCTCATGTCCCTCTGTGTCTGGATGTCTCTGTTGTATCTTCCCCGTTTTCTGTGCCCCTCTCCCAGACTCTTCTCCCAGCTTGTGGGCGATGCTGAGGCCTCAGCCGGGACCCCCAGCCCCTGCGGGGACCCCAGCCTGGGCTCTCCATCTCTGCACTGTGGCAGCCTCACCTCTGCGCCAGCTCTCCTGATTCACCCCCTCTCTCTCTCTGTCCCCACACCCTCTCTCTGTCTCTCTCTCTCTGTCTCTTTCTTTCTCCTTTTCTCCTCTGCTCACAGGGTTTTGGGTTTGTAACTTTTGAAACTAGCACAGATGCCGACCGGGCACGAGAGAAGCTGAATGGCACCATCGTAGAGGGCCGGAAGATTGAGGTGCTCAGATAAGTGTGCTAGTGCCGTGCCATGCCTGCGTGTGCGTGTCCCCTGCCCGGGCTGTGGGATGCTTGAGGGCAGCTCTGGGTCCTGGGTGCCCCCGGGGAGCTGTGCCCGGCCTTTGCATGTGTCCCTGAATGTGGCACAGGAGCATGTGTGCCGGCTGCCAGGAAGTTCATCGCTTGGCACAAGGAGCGTCCGGCCCAAAGGAACCTCCCATGTGCGGGGAGAGCCGGGATTTCAGCTGGGGCTTTGTTCTGCCTGGTACAGATGGGTCTGGCAGAGACCCCCACCTGCAGCCCTGTGCCTGCTGTGTAGCTGCCCCACACTCTGCAGGGAGCTTTAGGGCTCTGCCCCATGTGCCGTTCCCACCTGTCCTGTGCCGGAAGGGAGGATCCACTCAGGGCTCTGCACCCTCAGTGCCGGAGGTTACCTGTCCCTGGAGGCTTTGATTTCTCCAAGCCTGGCACAGGCATCAGGCTCTGCCCATTCGTTGGCAGCTCCTCACTGGTGGCCGGCAAGCAGTGGAAGCAGAATGGCACATGGCAGAGGGAATGGGACAAAATGTCCCAGCAGTGCTGAGGGCAGGGAAGGAGCCTGGCAGGGCACAGCAGCACCCCATGGATGGGGAAAACATGGTCCAACAAAGCCAGGCCTGAGCATGGCACTGCAGCACTCGGGGCATCAGCCATCAGCCTGACCCACGCTCGTTGCTGCAGCCAGGAGGCCTGGCCTGGCTGGGGGTACGAGCAGGTCTGCGTGTGGTGGGGCGGCTGCAGCAGAGACTTGCCTCGTGACAGCTCCGCCGCAGCCGGCGTCCTTCGCTCCGCACCTGCAGCAGCAGCGAGATGGGCCGAGCACAGCCGAGCGGGCCCTCTGGACCACGGCCTCGCCAGCCCCACGGCCCGCAGGCACTGAGCCCCCGTCCCTCTCTCTGCAGGTGAACAATGCCACAGCCCGCGTCATGACCAACAAGAAGGTGGCCAACCCTTACACCAACGGTAAGGGCCAGTGTCCAGAGAGCAGGGACTGCAGTGGGCAGGGGCATCCCCTGGGCACACTCGCTGCCTGGCTGCCGTGGAGCTCTGACTGTGGAGAGCAGCCACCCCTGCCCAGTGCAGGCGTACAACCCCTCCATGCCCTCCTCCTGCCTGGGGATGGGGCTGTGGCCCCTCAGAGTGCCACGGGAACAGTGCCCTGTCCTCACTGGCTCTCTCTGCCCACAGGCTGGAAGCTGAACCCAGTGGTGGGAGCAGTCTATGGCCCCGAATTCTACGCAGGTAATAACTGAGTTGCAGCCGTCCCTGCCACAGGTGCCCCCCAAACGTCAGCTCTGCATTCTGTCTGACCTTGCCACTGCTCAGCACAGCAAGCAGCCCCTGATCCCTCTCCCTGTCCTGCACCCCTGCCTGGACTGCTCCCCCCATCCCATCCCCTTGCCCAGCATCCCCACGGGGCCATGTCCCTGACAGGCCGGGGGTACAGAGGTGGGCTCTGTCACGGATGCCCCGCTGCAGCTGTGCAGACCTGCTGTGGAAAGCCCATGTGTGTCCCCTCCTCCCACAGTAACGGGATTCCCATACCCCACCACGGGGACAGCCGTGGCCTACCGAGGGGCACACCTACGGGGACGGGGACGCGCCGTCTACAACACCTTCCGAGCTGCGCCGCCACCGCCGCCCATCCCCACCTACGGCGCGTGAGTATCCACGGCCACGGAGGGCGGGGGGCGTGTGCTGGCACTGCTCCGGGTCTGCAGCAGCGTCACCAGGCTCTGACACATCAGGAACGGGCTGCAGCTCCCACAGCACTTGCTTGGCCATGGACTCTCTGCAACCCCCAGGCTGCTGCCCTCAGGGTGACCCATGCACTCACCAGCCTCCTGTGCCCCAAGGCATGGGATGTTATTCCAGCCAGGATGGTTGGTTTAATGGAGACTCTCTCCTGACACACGCGGCTGTGCTGGCATTGGGCACGGACATGGCCATGGCCATCTGCAGCTGCTCAGCTGCTATCGTGCTCCAGACTCCTCCATCCCTGTAGCACCCCTGGCCCTGGGCCGTGCTGTCCACCTGTCCCTAGGTCCCTGCCCAGAGTGCCAGCCTGGACATGCCCTCGAGGGCCTGCACAACCACTCCTCACCCCTCAGCTGCGCTGTTGAGGCAGCTCCCCTCGTTCACCACCCTCATTCTGCTCCCCTTGTCTGGGGACACTGGCTGGGCTCTGACACCTCCACCTCATTTCCAGGGTCGTCTACCAGGACGGGTTCTACGGAGCTGTAAGTGACACTGTGCCCAGGGCTGGGCCATGACGGGGACCCCATGCCAGGGCAGGGAGCAGGCAGCACTGGGCATCTCCATGGTGGGCTCTGCCCCTGCCACCCCCTTTTCCTGGGAGGCAGAGCATGAACAGAGTGTGGCTCCTCTGGAGCAATCTGGGTGGCACTGCATGGGGTCCTGTGCCATGTCTTGTGCCCACCAGCCCCCTTGTGGGGCCAGCACCACGTGGGATTTACAGTCTCAGTGCCTTACACCCACGTTTAACCTCTGTGTCTGAGGAACCAGCGCCGATATTTCAGGCGGGCGCTGAAGGATTTATCTAACGTGGCACCTCATTAAAGCAAGTGGGGAGGTGACATTCTCTCCTCTGGAAATTTAATTTTTTAAGGTTAATGTTTGTGAAAGCCCTTGGGGAATGGTAATGAGGCTGCTGCGTGCCCAGTGGCACTAGCACTGGCTCCCCACAGGCCTCACCAGTGTAATGTGCAGTGCCATGGGGCACTCAGCTGCCCTCACCCCAGTCCCCCCCGCTGTGGGTGCTGCCCCCTGACCAGTCTCTCCTCCCTGCAGGGGGGCTATGCTGCCTACAGGTACGCCCAGCCTGCGGCAGCAGCGGCAGCGTACAGTGACAGGTAAGCACCGCGGGCACCGCGCTGGGGGGGAGCCCCGTGTCACCCCCTGCACTGCCGGCTCTGACACCCCCAGCTCTTGTGCACTGCAGGATGGGCAGGGTCAGGCATGGGGAGGGTGTCCTGCAAACTGGGACCCCTGCGCTTCCCTCGGAGCTGGGACTGGAAAGGACTGGCACCACTGGAGGGAGATTCCAGGGGGCTCCCAGGCACAGCTGGGCAGGAGGGCTCCAAGGGGAGACAGAACCCCCCCTCTTGTCACTAACACCCACCACTGTGTTTGCTCCTAGTTACGGCAGAGTGTACGCAGCAGCAGACCCCTACCACCACACCATCGGCCCCGCCGCCACGTACAGCATCGGCACCATGGTAAGAGCAGCCCCTCGGCCTTCCTCTGCTTCCGGGGGGCTGCAGCCAGCCCGGGGAGGGGGCCAGCACGGCAGCCGGCCAGCCTGCAGGGCATGGGGCACCCCCGCACACGGGGACTGTGGGAGGGGAGCGGGGACAGCGCAGCCCCTGCCTGGCTCTGTCTGCAGGAGAGAAGACCCCCCACCCTGCACCTCTGTTCCATGTACCCCTCACACCCTGCGTAGTCCTGCCCATGCACTCTGCTTCCCGGGGGCTTGGCTACACCCCACGCCAGCTGCCTGCTCAATGTCCCAGGGCCCTGCCTGGGGTCTGGGACCCCTTCTCTCATCCCAGTGCAGGGCATTGTCCCCAGGCCCCCACGTAGAGCCACACTCAGGGAGCACTGCAGCCCCCTATGCACTGCAGCTCTTGGCTAGCTCTGACAGCATCAAAGATGAAAAATCTCCACTCATGGGTAGGACCCCAAAGCCAACCCACCTTTCTCTGCCTTTTTTTACTCCTTTGGCACCCCCAGCCCCAGGCAGCCACTAGTGAGGGGCCGTGGGCACTCCATCCTGGGGGTTTCCAACCCCGTGGCACAGCAGGGACAGGCTCCTCGGTGGGCACATCATGGCGGTGCCATGGCTGGGGCACATGGCACCCTCTGGCCCCAGGGCAGTACCCATGGCCGCCACAGAGCCTGGGCAGCACTGGACACCCTGGCCTTGCCCAATCCTCATGTCCCAAGAACAGCAGGAATTTGTTATCAGTTGAAAGAGGAAAAAAAAGAAGAAAAAAGGGAAGATCTGGGCTTTGCCTCTCTCCAAATACTGATTGGCTTTTTTTTCATCTTTGATGTTGCAGGCTAGTCTATACCGAGGAGGGTACAGCCGCTTCACTCCCTACTAGCAAGACAGACCCAGCCCCCCCACCACTGCCCCCGATGCTCACTAGCACCAAACCAAACCAGGCAGACAGAGCCGAGGCCGAGCCTGCGGAGGACCCGCGGGCGCTGCCTGGGTGGCCGGGGCTGGCGCCGGGCTCTGCGGGGCCGCGGCACCCACACCTGTAGGGTTACCTGAGCCTCTCCGCCCGCCGCCACACACCTCTCCTGCTCCGTCCACCCGCCCCGGGGACCGCGGGGAGCGGGCCCAACCCTCGGCCCCAGTGGCACCCCATTTCCAGAGCTGGGGTGCAGGGTCCCCCCACAGGCACTGCCCTGGCTGGAGTGCAGAGGGCTCGTTCCCCTGTGAGGCAGGAGGGGATGCTCAGCCCGCCGGGGTGCTCGGCCCACAGGGATGCTTGACCCGAGGTGCTGGGGCATGGGGCGATGGCAGCTCCCAAGCAGCCCCTCTGCCCCCATAGGAGAGAGAGAAGCCAGCGGGGGCTGCTGCCAGCTCTGGAGACAGATGGGGTTGGGGAAGGTGCAGGACCCCAAGGCACCCCCGGGCAATAGCACTTCTCTGGGCTGACCGTGCTGCTCTGCAGAGCTGAGTGCATGAGGCTGGGCTGGCTGTATGGGCTCGGGGGGCCAGGTTGGTGCCTGTGTTCCCCCTGGCCAGTGGCTCGGCCAGGCTGCTCCAGCGAAAGACCTGCCTCTCTTATTTCTGTTGTAGTGAACCCACGGCTGTTTCCTTCTGGGACCAGGAAGGGCAAAAAAACACACACACACACACACACAAAAAAAAAAACCAAACAAAAAAATTAAAAGCAAAGCAACAAAAAAAGAAAAACAAAGCCAAGCGGAAGCAGCCAAGTGAGTCCCAAACTGTCCACAAGCACCGAGCGAGCAAGTCCCGGAGGAGCCGTGGCGAGCACCAGCGGCCGGACGCGCCGGAGGGACCCACTGCGCCCCGGCCCACAGCCTGGCAGGGAGGGAGCCGGCATGGGGGTCCGTGGGGGTCCACGGGGCCCTCACCTGCCCAGGCACAGGGCCTGGGCACCACGTCTTCCTTTCCCCGGTGTGGCAGCGCTGGGGGTGCCGGCACAGCGTTGCACCCCTGCCTGGCTCGGGGGACCGGGTGACAGGGTGGGGACCCAGCTTCGTGCTGCCCGAGACCCGGCGCTGCCGGCCATCAGCGTGTCAAGTGTGCGAGGCCTCGGCTCCAGTGTGGAACTGGGGCGGCGGCGTGGCTGCGGTGCTGAGGCGTTGCAGGGGACAAGCCTCTGCCTTTTAAAGGGAATTTTTGTTAAGAGGAGCTTGCAACTCGCTTGCGACCCCTTCCCCTCCCTCCATCCCTGACACCCTGCCCTCCCACCCTGCCCAGAGCAGCCCTGACCAACGCCGGGCCAGGGACTGCCCCAATCCTGCTCCTGCTCCCGCCTGCTCCGCAGCGTGGGTCATGCTCACAGCCACCCTGCCCAAGGCAGCAGGACCCCCCAGCCCTGGGCGCGGGGTCTCAGCTGCTGCATCACCCGTGGGGACCTGCCTGAGCCCCGGGGTTGGGCTGCAGCCGCTGGCACACTGGCTCCGGTGGCTGATGGCACGGGGTGCTGTGGAGCCCACCCTGGGGTGCAGCCCCGTCCCATGGGCGGCCTCGCACTCAGCCCCTTGCCCCCCCACCCACGTGGCTCTGCCACTCCTCAAACCTCACTTTATAGTCTGCAGACCCCCCTGACGCCCCAGCGATGAGCTCCCCCTTTTCTATTCCCGGTGTACATAGCCCCGGCCCCCGCCCGCCCCCGTGTACAAAGCTCCGTCCATCGCTGTACTGGCTTCTCCCTTACAGCACCCCTGCGCCGCCCCGGCGCGCGGGCTGGCGCCGGCCCATCCTGTATGCTTAAAGGTGTGACCATTCTAATAAACAGTATTATTATTATTATTATTATTATTATTATTATTATTATTATTATTATTACAAGGATTATTATTATTATTATTGAAATTATTAATAAAGATTTCTTTCTTCAACCAGGGCAATTCAGGTTTTGACTGGGGTGCTGGTGCGGGGGCGTGGGGCTGCGGCTGCCACAGCAGGTCCAGTCGTGCTGAGCAGGGGGCTGCAGCCTGTGGGTGAGGGGGGGACCTACGGAGCCCTTGGCCTCACCATGACGAGGGAGCAGGGTGCGGCACAGGGAGCCCTTCCTTGGCTGGGCTTAGCCCTTCATTCTTCAAACCATCAAGTAATTCGTTCCCCAGCGTGTTCCCGCCTCACCACTGGCACTGACGTCCCTGATCGGAGCCCACGTTGTTTGGGGACAGGGCCAGCACACAGAGGGTGTGTGGCTGAGTACCCCACTGCGGGCGCGCTCGCCTGCTTCTGCCTGCTAATTGCTTGCTCACCAGACTGTGAGAAAATAATTGCTGCTATAAATTTTCTCTCCTCCTCAGAAGATGCTCAAGGGAGGCAGCACAGGCTGATGGCACTGGGCTGGGTCCACGGTGATGGGCACAGTGGCCATGCTGGCAGCTCCCCACTGGATTGGGCCCTGAGGGGAGGGGGTATGGGGCTTGGGGTTCTTGGGACAAGTAGCCCCATCCTGTGGACACAGCTTGCAGGCAGTGAGTGCTGCAGGAGCTGGGGGGCAGGTCACACATGTAGGAGGGTCCCTACCAGCCCATCACAGGACCCTGGTCAGCACCCAGCGGGCCCCCACGGTGAGGGGCTGAGCACAACCACAGATCGGGAGAAGAGGGACCCACCTATCCAGGGTGATGAAATGCAGCCTCTACCATTGGTGTCCCCCACCCACAGCCCACCCACCACATGGAGGAAACAACACGGGCTGCACCAAGGTTGCTTTAATGCCCATCTGAACTGGTGCCACTGCCTGGTGAGGAATAGACCAGCACGAGGCGGCCCCAGCGGTCAGGGTCCACGGGCAGCTCATCCAGCAGCACCGGTTCCACCAGCAGCTCCAGCCGGCAGGACTGCCCGGGCGTCGGCCGCGGCACCGGCAGCCCCACGGCACGGAACAGGCAGCCCTGTGCCAGCCCCAGCAGCTGCGGTGCCGTCTGGCCTCGGCGGCACCGGGCACCCTGGCTGAGGACACGGAAGCATCCAGCACGGCCAGGTGGGAAGGACCAGCGCAGGGTGAGGCTGAGTGAGAGCTCCTCGGGCTCAGGGCCCTCCTGCCACCAAAGCTGCGAGGCTGTCACACTCTGCACCTGTGGTGGGGAAGCCGCCAAGCTGGCCGTGTCCAGCACCTGTGAGGGAACCACAGGGCTGTCAGGGAGCAGCAGGCACCCTCCCACCTTCCCAGAACAAGGGTGGCATCAGGCAGGTGGCTCCAGCTGACAGCGGCAGGCACTCACCCGGACCTCCCCGAGGAGGCAGGTGAAGGATGTCTCCCGCGGGCTGGGCTGCTGGCGGGACACAATCACAGAGAGGTCTCGCAGGCTGCAGTCCTGCAGCTCCAGCTCATAGCACCTGAGAGGAAAGGGGCAGAGCGGGAATTGTACCAGGGAGCCACGGGGTCTCATGCCTGCCTGTGGGGACAGGATGCAGGCAGGGCACTCACCGGCTGGTCCAGCCATGGGAGCCACGGTGGCAGGAAGCAAGCAGCTTGGCAAGTCCAGGCGGTGGAGCCGGGAGGAACCGGGGGTGATACCGACCATTGGGCTCTGCAAGAGGGAGCCAGGTCAGGGGGCGGGGGACTGAGCTGGTCCCGCGCCACACAGCGGGTGCTCACTGCAGAGAGCATGGCGAGACGGGGTCCTCACCAGGCAGGGAGGTGGGGTTGCCCTCAAGGCAGGTCCCTGAGTCCCAGGTGGTGACTTCCAGTGCCACCACAAAGTCATCAGACTGCGGCCCCTCCAGCTTGTAGAGCAGGGTCAAGAAGAGCTTGGGGGGTGCCGGCATCTGCAAAGAGAAGAGGCTGATGACCCCAAATCCACCCAGAGAGAGAGAGAGAGACAGAGACAGAGAGAGAAACAAAGATACATTGGGTTAGGTGTGCTGGGCAGTGTGGGCAGAGCCGCAGCTCACTTGCCATGAGGCCCTGGGGCCACACAGCTTGGGCCATGCTGGCTGTGCTGTGCCAACATGGTGCCAGCCTGGTGCTGAGGAGGGGGCAAAGGGCTTTGCCCCAACTCACCGGACGGCCACGCGCTCCTCGCCGGGGGGAATGGTCCCCTGCAGCCTCAGGGAGCTGCCCCCACACCAGGCGTCCTGCAGGCAGCAGCTGGTGCTCAGCCTGCCCTGGTGTTCTGGGTACAGGGGCTGGATCTCCTGCATGCTCAGGTCATACCAGGGCCCAGACTCTTCGTCCTGCAGCACAGGGAGAGCTGGGCTGGGGGAGCCAAGAGCAGGGACCCCCTGCCCATCCCAACCCAGTCCAGCCAGACCAGAGCTGTCACCCTGCACCCACCTTTCCATCCAGGAACCTGCTGGTGCCCATGCCCAGGCTGAAGGAGGTGGCGAGGGGCAGTGTGCAGATGCTGTGTGTGGGCAAGTACTCAGCCAGCAAGCTCCAGAACCTGGAGGCAAAGGTGGGTGTCAGGGCAGAGCCCCTTGCTATAGTTACTGCCCTGTATGGCCTAGAGCATCATGTCGGCTGTGGCAGAGTGGGACCAGCTGGCTCCTGGCCAGCAGCCCGTGTGCCAACCACAGTGCCCTGGCAGCCACGGTGTCCTGGCAGCCCTGTTCCTGCCACCCCACAGTCCTCCTGGCCCAGCCCCGTTCCTCCACAACCTCCTGCCGAGCTGCTCTCACCTATTCTCGTTCTGCAGGAAGTTTTCCTCCCCCAGGTGCTCATAGACCCAGCCGGGAGCGAAGATGGCTGCAGAGAGGCTGTGCTGGCGGATCAGGCGCAGGGACTGCAGAGATGAGTGGTGAGCAGCACAGGTCAGACCACGTAGTCACTGTCACCTGTCTTGTCCCTGCTCCCCCCAGATCCCACTGGCCCCGTGGTGAGGCAGAACACTGTGGGAATGTGCTGTGGCATCTCCCTCTCCAGGGATGGCAGCTTGGGGAACCCTCAGCTCCCTCTCTATGCATGTCCAGGAGCTCTGGGATCCCCCACTCCTCACCAGTTCATCCGCAGATAAGCAGCCCAACAGGGCATGGCACAGCCATTGGTGGGAGCTCAGAGCCCTGCACCAGGGGAGGTCCAAGGTCCCATTCTGGCCCAGCCCTGTCACACTCACCTTGTCAGTGTCGAAGCCACCACCGATTACGTCCCCACGGGCAAAGACATCGACACCAACATAAACGTCAGCGTGGCGTGGCCCGGCCAGCCTGAGTGTGTGCTCCAGCTGCTTCTCCTTCCAGTTGTAGTTGGTGAACAGCCCATCACAGGCATCAAAGAACACCCTAGGGATGAGGGTCAGGGTGGCAGGGTAGTTGCTGCGGCTGTCCTCACAGACACCCCCCCACACTGAGGGCTGCACAGGTCATGCCCTGACTACTCCTGCACAGGGTTTGGGGTGGGCTCATGCCCCCCACCCAGGTTCAATTTTGCTGACCTCACCTATTGTCCTCATTCAGCTCATTCTGCCACCTCAGCGTGCCATCCTGCAGGACGCTGTCGTACCAGATCACCAGCCCCCCTGGCACAGCGCTGTGCACCCGTGCTGTCAGGTCCCGCAGGAAGGGGGGCAGGTTCCCCACTGCTGCTGCCTGGCAGGAGAGAGCAGGGAGAGGTGGGTGAAAGGTGTGGGATGGGGTCTCCCTATGGGTGAAGTACAAAGGCAGGGAGGTGGGCAGGGGGAAGGCAGGGAGGTGAGCAGGGGGAAGGCAGGGAGGTGAGCAGGGGAGGCAGGGAGGTGAGCAGGGCCACCATGACTTACACTCAGCGTGTTCTCGATGTTGACCAGCCAGCCATCGAAGCGGTAGTGCTGGGCGATGCGGGCCAGCTGCTCGGCCACGGCACCGAACGCCTCCTCCCCCCCAGCCAGGAACGCCTCACACATCTTCTCCCCGTCCGTCCACTCCGTGATGAACGTGCCTGGGGTGACGGCAAGGGCAGCATCAGCCACACGCCCCAGTGAACCCACTGCACGCCTGGGGTTGCCCCAGGCTCAGCCCTGCCCTCACCCAGCACGGGGACACCGTTCCGGTGCGCCGCGTTGGTCCAGACCACGGGCGGGATGGTGACAGTGTGGTGACTGAAGTAGACAAAGATGTCGATGTAGCGCCAATGGTAGAAGACGTAGGGGTTGCGTGTGGCTGAGCCCTGGATGAACCTGCAGAGAGAAAAGAGGGTTGGGCAGTGTAGGAAGGACGCTGGCAGATGCTGCAGGGCTGGGTAGGAGCCTGACTCACACCTGAAAGCTGTGCACAGCTGTGGCACTGACCCAGCCCTGAACATCCCAGCCTGAGCAAGGCTGCTGAGCACTGGCACCAAAAGCCAAATGCCCCATCCCTGCCCACCTGTGGCTGAGCTGGAAGGAAACATCATCCAGAAACAGAAGTGGTTTGGGGGTTGAGACATCAAGCCCCGCTACTGCATCTCCCCTCCACCCAGCACGTACCTGTCCTCCAGGTACCCGCCACGCATGTCATGGCACACCAGCGTCCGGGGCCTCCTGCTGTGGAGTGGGGGCTGGCGCTTGGCCAGCGGCACGGCCGAGATGTTGAAGTCATCGTTGCTGTTGGGCTGCCAGGCCAGCAGCTCTTCCAGGCCGGACAAGAAGAAGCTGATGGGCTCTGTCGTCTTTGTGTCGAAGTACCTCGCTGGGGGCGGTGGGGAGACGGGACAGGGTCAGCAGAGAGCACTGCCTGAGCAGCTCGCCACCGGCACTGGCACCAGACTGTCCTCACCCCGGCAGGGCCCCAGCAGTGCAGCGGGCCCCTCTCACGGTGCCTCACCTGGCAGGGGCTGCGGGCGGTCATTGATGGTGTCGTGCAGGACGGTGGTTCCCCGGGTCTCCGCCGCCGGCTGGAAGCTGCCCCGGGATGGGGGTGAGTGCCGGGCCGGACCAGCACCGCGGTCAGCGCCCTCCGGGGCCCCGCGAGCCCGGGCACCGGTCCCCATCCCGGTCCCGATCCCTAACCCATTCCCCATCCCCATTCTGGTCCTGATCCTGAACCCCATTCCGCTCCTAGTCCCGGTCCCCACCCCGGCTCCGATTCCCATCCCGGCCCGATCCCCGCCCCGGTGCCCATCCTAGTCCTGGTCCCGATTCCCATCCTGGTCCCCGTCCCGGCCCCGGTCTGGGTCCCGGTCTTGATCACAGCACCGACCCCGGTCCCGATCGCGGCCCCGGCCCCCGCCATCCACCTCCGCCGCCGCCGCCCGGCCCGCTCCGCCTCCGCCGGCTCCTCTGCCCCGGAGTCGGTTCCCGTCCTCTTCCCACGCCGCCCGGGCCCCTCGGGCGCCTCCGCCATGGCGCTGCTGCCGCCGCCGCTCCCGCACTGACCGCGGCGCCGCCGCCACCGGGCCCGGCTTTCCCGGGGGCGCGGCCCCGGAGCTCCGCCCTCGCCAGCCCCCATCGCCCCCGGCACCGCCCGCGAGTCACGGGGCGGGACGTGTCCTGGGATGCACCGCGGGTCCTGGAATAGGGGCGTGAGTCCTGGGATGGGGACGTGTCTCCCGCGATGGGACATGTATGCTGGGATAGGACGTGTGTCCTGGGATGGGATACATGTCCTGGGATGGAACCACACGTCTCTGGGTGGACTTTATGTTCTGGGATGGGACATGTGACCTGGGATGGCACAAGTGTGCTGGGATGAGGGGCCATGTGTCCCAGGATAGGGATGTGTCTCCCAGGATGAGACATCTGTACTGGGACCGGGCTGTGTGTCCTGAGATAGAACATGTGTCCCAGGATAGGATCTGTGTGCTGGGATGCAAACTGTGTCCCATAGCAGACCCTGCTGTGCAGACTGGGATGGAGATGGTAGCTGGTCCTGAGGGGCTGGTGCTGCCAGGAGGCTTTGGCCCTGCCATGGGACTGGGCTGGGGCCCTGCTGCCCACACCACACAGGTACAGCAGTGGATGCCCTGACCAACCTCACCCAGACATCCTCCATCCCCCACCTCCCCACCTGTGGTGCCAGGGCTCTATTTGAGTTCAGCCTGAGCCCCCACTCCTCTCTCTGATGTGCTTGAGGTGCTGGTCTCCAGCTGCAGCCCTGATCAGCCCAGCCATGGACCTGCCCTTCCAGACCCTGACTCCCAGCTTCACCTCAGACCTGTCTCCTCTCTGTGGCCGTGCCGGATGACCTGGACTCTTGGCAACCCTCCCCAGCCTGCCCTGTTCCCAGGCTGACAGTTCCGTCACTGTGCTCAGCTCCCAGCCCTCAGGACACAGCCGATCCCGTGCAGACCCAGCACAGGATCCCCGTCTCTCTAGGGACAGTCTGCCCTTCCCTTTCCACTCCCAGCCCAACAGCACTGTACCAGCCCACGGCTCTCGGGAAACCCCAGCACTCCAGAAGCAGAAATCTGTCGTGAGCCCTTTGGAGCCTCCATACACACAAAGCAAGAGGACACTGAGGATGTGAGCAAGGCTGGAAACATGGGGTGTTTAATGTAGCAAGAGCTGTACAGGGAGGTCAGAATGCTGCCCCACACCACTGCAGCATCTACACAAACAAGAAGCCTGGCCATCAGATAATCTAACGGAAGAGGAAGTGGCTGAGGCCAAAGGTTCTGTCAGGGCTGCCGGTGGGGAGCCAGCCCCTCCCCAGCAGAGGCTGTGGCGAGCAGTGACAGGACCTGCAGAGGGAACTGACGCAATCCATTCCCACCAAGGGTACCCAGCCCCATGCTGTGACGCCCGCCCCACTGGCCCCCAGCTCTGCAGAAGGAAAGGGGCCCCTTAGTGGTTCATTGCTTTTCCTGATGGTGCTGAGCACCTTCTGCCCATTCGAGGCAGGGAGCACAGCATGGTGCATGGAGGAGGAACACGGTGCACGTGTCTGCGCTGGCTTGTACCAGGGCATCAGCAGTCATGCTGTTCCCCTGGTGCCAGCTCAGCCAGTGCCACAGTGGGCTCTGCCCAGCAAACCCGGCTATGGAACAGGTGGGAGGGGCGTGGAAGGAGCTCCCTGCCCACCCCAGGTGAGCAGCTGCTTCCCAGTCACAAATGTGGCAGAGGCTGGAAATGGCTCCAGCTCCTCCAGGTGCATCTGATCAGTCTCAAGAAGCTGGAGTGGGGGAATTCACACATTGAGGCAGGTGCTGAGGGTAGTAACAGAAGGGTGGGTGGCTAACAGCATAATGGGGGTGGCATGCCCAGGATGAGAGGGCACAGGAGCTCCTTGGCCACCCGGCCTGGTGCAGAAGGAGTTGGGAGGGGCTGGTGTTCAGGGGTCTCCACTGTACTTGATGAGGTGGCCACTGAAGGTGATGTAAGTGTCATACTCATCGCTGAAGACGGCGTTCTCACGCTCGCCCTTGTAGAGCCGCACCCAGACCTCGTCCTGCTCCCGCAGCTCCAGCATGACGCTCTGGCTCTGCATGATGCTGCGGTCACTCACCTGGGCGTAGAGGATCACTACCTCTGCCCCGTTGTGCATGATGTGCAGGTAGGTCTCCTTCTGGTTCCAGGTGTGCACATTGAGGCTGAAGTAGTAGATCCCAGGGACATAGCAGTAAAACTTGCCCGTGAACATGTTGAAGTGGCTGTAGAGGTTGACAAACTCCGTGTCGAAGATGAGGGTCTGGTAGTAGTCATTGCTGTGCAGGGGTTTCTTGCGGCCCACCGAGAAGGCGGCATAGTGGCTCTTGCAGCGCTCCCCCGGGGCGCCCATGCTGCCCTTCTGTCCCTTGGGCCCTGCGTGGCCCCTGCTGCCGGCCACCCCCGTCTTGCCAAACTTGCCCTGGATGCCACGCTCGCCACGGTCCCCCTTCTCCCCTGGGCAGAGCAGGAGGGAGAGCTGGACTGTCAGGCGGGGGCCAGCACTGAACCCACACCCTGAAAGCCTGTCTGCCTTACAGAGAAGGATGGAGGGAGCAGGCATGTCCCAGTCCTGCCCTGCCCCTACCCCCCTCCCCTGATGCTGCTGCCCAGAGGCCACCAGAGCAGTGGCTGCTCACACCCTGGCGTGGCTCTTGCCCTCTGCTCATGCAGGGCACTGGACCACAGGTACCACCCCAGGTTCTTGCTCCCAGTCTGTGCAAGAGCTGGCACTGGGAACCCAGTTGTGGGGCAACAGATTCTGGCACACAGAGTGGGGTCCTACTAGCCCTCACCTTTCAGGATGGTCATGTTGATCTGAGGCAGAGGCTGGTACTGGTCGGGCGGGGGGCAGCAGCGGACACAGCGGGGCCGTGGGGGCAGCCCCTCCTGGGCACCATCAGCCTTCTGCTCCCGTGTGGCCCTGGCAAGGCAGAAAGCAAAGCCCAACAGGGAGCTACGGAGGGGGCGGGGGCCCTCTGCGGCACCAAGGCTGCCTTGGCCCCCATTTTGCAGTGCCCTGGCCCTGGGGTCCCCTCACCTGGCAGCTTGGTGCCGGGCTGGGGCCTCTTCAGCATCTGTCCACCACTGCTGGTCGGGACTGGGTCCAGTCTGGCTCCCCACAGGGCAGGACAGCAGCAGGCAGAGCAGCAGGACACTGTGCACCCACAGCCCCTCCATGCCTTGGCAGTGCCCTGTGAGGTGCCAGGGATAGCTGAGGGGGACAGGAGTGTGGAGATGCCCAGTCCAACCATGCCCTGCACTGTCCTAGGACAGGACCTGTGCACTGCACAGTCCTAGGCTTCTGGCTGGACTGTGGGACACACTGTCACCCCAGTGAGCACCTGGGGAGACCCACACTGGGGCAGTGTGGAGGCTCTGGGCTCACCAACATGTGGGCCAGGACCATGCAGTCTCCCAAGTCCTGGCACACGCAGCAGAGGGGATTACCTGGAGAGCTGAGGGTGGAGCAGAGCAGCAGGCTCTAGATGACCAGCCAAATCCTGGGCCGAGTGCTGCTGCTCCTGCTCAGCCTGGCTTCAGCTGCCTCCCATGAATGCCCAAGAGCAGCAATTTAGGGTGTCAGCACCTGAAAAATTACAGGCAGCTCCAGATGCCACAAGGCAAATGTCAGGGTGCAGCCCTGTCTGGGGAGCATATCTGCATCCCCACTCCTGCAAGGATGCAGCACAGGCTGCACAGGCTCTGCAGGGGGCTCCTGTGCCCCAGGGGCTGCTAGCCAAAGGGTTTGCAAGGGCACAAGAACCACTTCTCCAGAGACATGGATGTGGGCTGGCAGTCCCAGCTCAGAGCTGGCTACCACAGGGAGAAACCTTCCTGGGAGACCACATCCTATGTGGGGCCAAAACAAATATTTGCAGTGGTGGTGGCACCGTGGCCCAGCCCGAGCCCTCCATGGCCCTTCCCTGCCTTATCGCAGCCATATCTGATGGAGACGTGGGGCCAGGCACGCAGCACCTTGTCCTTTGGCCCCGAGGCGCCAGGCCCCGAGCCTTGGCCAAACAGGCGTGTGGCACTGCCCAGTGCTCGGCATCCCGCGGCAGCAGGGTCTGAGGCGGTGCTGGGTTGGGATGGGGTTGGCTGCTCCCCAGTCTCCTGTCTTAGCCAGGCACCTCCCTGGGTTGGGACTGGGTGCGGCCTTTGCCGTTCTCCCCTCCCAAGCGGCCTCCCCTGGCACCACCCAGCCATGCTCCACAGCTCTGACGGGATCCCAGAGCACCGGCCCAAGGGGCAAAGGGCCTGCGCAGCCCTGCCCTGCCCTGGGGGTGGGCGAGGCTAGGAAGGATTTTGGGGCAGAATCCTGTTATTTTGCTGAATACCCGTTCTCGGAGCACTGGGGCCCTCAGTCGGTATTGGGTGGCTGTTACTCTTGTTCCCAAGCTGGGGGTCGGGGGACTGTGTGTGCTCCCGCAGCGGGTGCGGAGGGCGTTCGAGGCCAGGGCGGATGACTGGATCATGAGTCACTGGAACCGGGAAGGGGCGAAGGGATAGGGAAAAGCTCCAAAGGGCTTTTCCCACTGCTTGCACCCTCTGCTAAGTGCCTCACCCCTTCGTGTGGTTTCTGGGCCCCTCTGTCCCACCATCTCTTACCCCATTATCTCGGCCCATGTCTTGGTGCTGCCGGATGTGGGGAGAGGCAGGGCTGTGGGCACTCAGCTCTGAGGCAGGGGAGAGGCAGATTCATGGATAGAAGCATGGAGAAGGCCAAGTAGGGGCTCATGAGCAGGTATCACCCAGCTTGGCCCTGGCTCTGCTCATCCTGCCTGGCCTTGAGCTGCTGAGCATGGCATGGAGCATGCCAGGAATTTGGAAAGCCTGTGGATTTCCCTCAGCTCTGAGACCATGAAACCAGACATTCCCCCAGGACCCAGAGCAGGCTCAGCCCTGGGGAAAACACAGTGTCCCAGGGAGGTGCTCCATGAGGAGAAACCCTTCACCAGGAAGCACCAGACAGTGCTTCCCAGGCTGTTGGGAATGGAGGCAAACATGTGGCACACACAGGGTACGTGGGGCTCTCTGGGCCCCCAGCACGTCCCCCCTGTACCCCACAGGTGTGCCAGGTGGGAGGTGCTCACGTGCGTGTGGGCACACACAGCCCTGCCGAGGGACGCGGTTTTTCCTGTCAGGGTTGGATGCTCTCCAGGAACGGTTGGAGATTTAAACTCAGTGGCTGCGGAAGCCTTGGGACTGCAAGTCAAAACATCCCAAAATACATTCCAGGCAGAGATAAAGACCAGGATGAAACAGAACAAACTCTGAGGGAGGAACAAGGGGCTCAGGGTGGCATGTAGGCGGCAGGACCTGCACCCCCTGCTTGTCCCTCCACTCAGGGTGGTGGACACAGACTTCCCTGCTCCACAGCAGCTGGAGCTGGGATGCCTCTGGGGTCGTGCTGGTGGGACAGGACCCCCACATTCTGCTGCAGCAGCTGGAATAGTTGCAGAGCCCTTTTTTCCCCCCTGAAGCAGTGCAGACCCGGCAGGCAGCAGTGTGGGGGCTGCGCGGGGTGGTTGCAGCCTTCCAGCTCCTGCAGCACCAGTAAGATGTTGTGCAGGGACCCCAACAGCCAAAGTGTCCCCTACAGAAATGCTGGGGAGGGGCCAGCCTCACTGGGCGGGGGTGGGGCACAAGGACCGGTGCCCCTCGCTGGACCTGCCCCAGGGCATACGCGATCCTGGCGAGGCGGAGCCGCCTTCGGGTGTCTCCGCAGGGATGCCGCAGCAGCCACAGTGAGCATAACACAGTGCAGCTCTAGGCCTGGTGCCCAGGCCTGCAGGGCTCCCCAAAACCTGCCCCCCACGTACCTCTGGGGCAGGGCTGCTCCCTCCCGGCGCTGCCTTTGCTGCCCTAGAGCATCCCCCGGGCCGGGGCAGAGCCTGCCCGCGGCCGATCGGTGCCTCCCGCTCCGGAGCCTTCTCCTCTCTCGGCCCGGGCGGAAATGCACTTTTTGGAAGCGCAGGAGGCAGCCAGGCGCGGGACGAGGCTTGCAGCCCTCCCCCGCCAGATGTGCGCCCGCGGCCGCCTTAACCATGTGTGCTCCCGGGACCGGCCGAATTAACCGTGTGTGCTCCCGGGACAGGCCGAATAAACCGTCTGTGCTCCCAGGACAGGCCGAATTAACCGTGTGTGCTCCCGGGACAGGCCGAATAAACCGTCTGTGCTCCCAGGACAGGCCGAATAAACCGTGTGTGCTCCCGGTGCCGCCGCACCGCGCCCGCGCCACGGACGGGGCGGGCCCCGGCGGGTGCCGGTGGCCCCGAGGCAGGACCCTGCCCCATGCCGGGAGCGTCGCCGGCCATTCTCAGCCCCGAGGGCACCGGGGCCAGCACAGCCCCACCGGGAACCAGCTTTTGGCGGTCGGACACGCGCACGGGTCCCACACCGCAGGGCTGGGTCTGTCCCGCTCCCCACACCCCAGTGGCAGAGGGACACCAGGGACAGCCGGCACAGCGACAGAATCTGCTGCAGGCTGGGGCCGGGCTGCACCGGGGCCTGCAGCGAGGTCATGCCCTCCGGGCAGCCGGGCTATGCCCACCCCGCAGGGCCGGCTCGGCCCCCGCCGCTGGGCTCCATCCTCCCGCGTGCGACACCCGGCCTGGCGGGGCCCGGCCCGGCGCGGACTACAGCTCCCGGCAGCCCCCGCGGCGCGGCGGGCGGTCTGTGCTGCGTGGGGGCTTCTGGGAGTTGTAGTCCTCTCGCGGACCCGGAGGTCTGGTCTCTCCCGGTCGCGGCGGCGGCGCGCGGGGCCGCCGGGAGCTGTAGGCGGCGGCGGCGGCGGCTGCGCGCGGCGGGGGAGCGGCGGCGCCGCGGTGAGCGGGGACACGGGCGGGGGGCGCCGGGCCGGCAGCCGGGGGTCCCCACCGCGGGCCCCGAGCACCCTGCCCGGGCGGGAGCGGCGGGGTCTCCGGGGCCGTGCCCCGCGCGGCGCCGGGGACTTCAGGGCCCCGCTCAGTCCGGTAGCTTGCCCGGGAAGAAGCGCGAGGGTCCCCAAGGGCGCGCTCGGCGGAGATGGGGGGGTCCCCGTGTCCTTATGAGGGGATCCCGTGTCCCTGCCCGGGGGTGTTGGGGTGGTCCCCGTGTCCGTGCCCAGAGGGGTGCCTGTGACCGTGGCCCGGGGTTTTGGGGGGTCCCCGAGGCCGTGCCGAGGGCGATGCTCCGGGTCCGGCAGGGCGAGGGGCGCTCCCCCCTCGCCCCAGCGGGGTCCCGGGCCGAGCAGCAGCCCCGCGGGCTCTCCGTGCCCGCCGCGCCGGAGCCTCCCTGCCCGGGGTCGGCCCCCCACGCTCAATGCCGGCTCTGTTCTCCGCTCGGTCTGCTGAAAGGCACATTGAGACCCTGCGGGGAGCACGACCCGAGCCCAGCTCCGGGCGCGGGGACACGGACGGACCCACTGGGGACAGCCCTGGGATGGCAGCTGGGGACCCCTTTCCCTGCCGTGAGCTGGGGGGTCTCTGCCCCAGGCTGCATGGCGCGGAACAAGCATGGATCCGGTCTTGGGGGCTTCTTGCCCCCTGCTCAGCCCGGGGTGCCCCTCTGCAGGAGTCCGGGCCACTGCCACGTCCACTGTGCTGCAGGGAGGGAGGTGGCAGTGAGGAGAACTGCCGGCACCCCGTCCCCGCGGGTGGGCACAGTGGGCACAGTCTGGGGTGGGCTTGTAGTGCCCACATGCCCGGAGGGATATACACTGTGAGCGTGGGCAGGGGTGGGGGTCTGCTGTGTCTCTTAAGACTGAGCAGGTCAGGGTGTGTGCCCTGTGCTGTGCTTCCTGCTCAGGTGTTGACATCCTGCTCGGGCGGAGCTGCCACGTGTCTCAAGGTGTCCCTGTGGAGCCTGGGGACGCACTCAGCCCTCACCAGTGGGGCCTGTTCCCAGGGCTGCGGGAGCTGGGCCAGGCCAACCAGCCTCCCTGGAGGCAGCAAAGGTCATCCTCGCCACCAGAGGGGAACCCACTCACTCCTGGGGCTGTGTGGGGACATACCTCAGGACACCCCGATACAGGGCTCCCCCTGAGCCGGTTGCCTTGGCTCGCTGCCTGGGCTGCAGCGACCCTGGGCCAGGTAAAGGTGCTGGGCAGGTCATGTGTTCCTGCCAATGCACTGGGGCTCATTTGGTTTAAGGTGGTGTGGGGGCTAGGTGAGAGGGGCTGAGAGTGGTTCCAGCAGCAAACAGCCCCTGGGTGTGGTGGCTCCTACACGCATGAGGTGGGAGTACCTTCTCCTGCTACAGGAGGGGGGATAGGGTCCCTCATGGTTGTGTCCTGCCACCCCCCAAGCTCAGTTGGTGCCAGCTCCAGCAATCTGACCTTCTCCCTCCCCTCTTTCCACTAGGTTCTCCTTGCCCCCACTCTAATGCCAGTCCCGCCCTGCCATGAGTCTATGAGCCCCCTCCGGATCAGCGTGGGTGGTCTGCCTGTCCTCGCGTCCATGACCAAGGGTGCTGACCCCCGCTTCCGACTGCGCTGGAAGGCCATCGTGCTGTCCTCAGCCTGTGTGGGGTTCGTGCTGCTGCTCCTCTGCCTGCACCGCTCCTCCCCAGCACGACATGGCCCCCCCAGCCCTCGGACCTGGCAGCTCGGCCTGCGGGCAGGGGACCGCTACAATGACACCTACCCGCTGTCCCCCCCCCAGAGAAACCCCGAGGGCGTGCGCTACCGCATCGCTGTCATCGCGGACCTGGACACGCAGTCCCGGGGCTCCCAGGAGCACACCTGGTTCAGTTACCTGAAGAAGGGTTACCTGGTGCTGTCAGACAGTGGGGACAGCGTGACAGTGGAGTGGGACAAGGACGAGACCATGCTGCAGTCCCACCTGGCTGAGAAGGGCCGGGGCATGGAGCTCTCTGAGCTGGTGGTTTTCAATGGGAAGCTGTACGCCGTGGACGACCGGACCGGCGTGGTCTACCAGATTGAGGGCAACAAGGTGGTGCCCTGGGTGATCCTCCCGGATGGGGACGGCACCGTGGGGAAAGGTGAGCTCCTATCCTGCCCTGTGGATGCAGAGCAGTGAAGCTCTTTTCGGCTTGTTGAGGTGGGGTGCACCTTTCCTGTGACCCCTGTGCCTGGCCAGGATGGGGGCAATTCCTGCCCAGGGGCCAGCTGCATGGGGGACGCTGTGCCCAGCACTGGGCTCTAGGGTGTGGTGTTCAGGGTGTGGGGCCACTCTGATGCCCTTGTGCTGGCCAAGGCCCCCTCAAGCCATTCTCTCCACCGCAGGCTTCAAGGCAGAGTGGCTGGCGGTGAAGGACGAGCACCTGTATGTGGGGGGACTGGGCAAGGAGTGGACCACCACGACGGGGGAGGTGGTGAACGAGAACCCCCTATGGGTGAAGGTCATCGGCTACAAGGGCGACGTGAGCCACGAGAACTGGGTGGCAAACTACAATGCCCTGAGGGCTGCAGCAGGGATCCGACCCCCAGGTATGGAGCGGGCACAACCTCCTGTCACCCCATATCCCACACCCTTGACGGCTCCAGGGCCGGTCACCCTCCCTAGGGATACTGGGACTGTATTATACTGGGTGATATTAAAAGGCCATTGGCAGTCAGAGACCTCCCTGTGTCCTGGCACAGAGGCCAGAGCCTTCCCCTGCCCTGGCCATTTCCCTCTCCTGAGTGTGCCACAAGCAGCTGGGGTGGCTCAGCTGACACTGGGCTGGCAGCCAGGCCCCTGGGCAGAGCGAGCTGTGCCAGGTGCCCCTGTCAGGCTCTGGAAGGGACTGAGATGTTGCTGCTGAGCAGTGGGGCAGAAGGAGGCAGAAATGTTCACAGGGGCTGCCTGTGCAGGGCTGCAACCTGTGAAGTGTTTTGGAGGGGGAAGAGGAGGGGAGGAGGAGGGAGAGGGTCCTGCCCCAGCCCGGCCGGTGCCGTGTGCCCCATGCGGTCACACTCCACTTCCTGCCGCAGGGTACCTGATCCACGAGTCGGCCTCCTGGAGCGACACGCTGCAGCGCTGGTTCTTCCTGCCGCGCCGCGCCAGCCACGAGCGCTACAGCGAGAGGGCGGACGAGCGGCGAGGCACCAACCTGCTGCTGAGCTCCACCCAGGACTTCGGGGACGTGACAGTGGGGCATGTGGGCGAGGTGGTTCCCACCCATGGCTTCTCCTCCTTCAAGTTCATCCCAGACACAGATGACCAGATCATCGTGGCGCTGAAATCGGAAGAGGACAACGGCAAGATCGCCAGCTACATCATGGCCTTCACTCTGGATGGGCGCTTACTCCTGCCCGAGACCAGGATCGGGAGTGTGAAGTACGAGGGCATCGAGTTTATTTAACAGACTTTTGGACCGAGTGGAGGGGCGCGGGCGGCCGAGGGGCATGGGCAGTCCCTGCCAACCTGCTTCCAGCCTGGGCTCTGCGAGGGATGCCAGACAGCACTCCCAGCTCTGTTCTTGGCCATGGCCTCTCCCGTAAAGCATTGGCTGTGCTGCAGCAGGCATGGTGCGAGTGTTTCGACAGTGGCACCTGGTGGCAAGGGACCGCCACCACAGGGTGCTCCCGGCCCCAGTGGCAGTGGCCACATCCTGGAGCATCGGTTTCCGGGCAGGCCCTGCTGCAGTCCTTAGTGCCCAGCCCCGAATTGCGACAGACCCCTCTGTGGTGGGTCAGCGATTCTGGTGACATCCGGTCTCTGGGTTTGCAGCTGAGGAGCAGCTGAGCCCCAGCTCTCCAGCTCTGCCTCATGCGCCGCGGGGCTCCCCAGGCAGAGGAAGGGGTGTGCAGCTGAAGCGAGTCAGACCCAGATTTCATCAGGCTTTTTCCCCAGAAGCTGGTTTTCCTTCCCTTTTCCCATAAGCTGGGTGAGGTGATGGCTGGGGTGACAGGTGGCCTGTTTCTGGGAAAAGTCATACGTAGGAAGGGACAGTGGCTGTGTCCCTCTGCCTCTGTCACCACGGGAGGTGCAGCAGTTCCAGCACCACTGGTAGCACCGGTTCCACTGCCACTCCTGGTGCTGTGGTACTGTCACAGTGGCCCTGCCTGTGGGGCAGGGGCAAGAGGTGGTCCCAAGCAACTGATGGGCCCATTCTAGTGCCATTCGCAGCCCACCTCCTGTGAGCCATGTGTGTGCTGGCTGTGTCTCTTCTCCCAGCCCTGACTGCACATGGCTCCAGCCCCAGAGGTGGCTCCAGCCCCAGAGCTGTGAGCTCCAGGAATAGCTGAGCCCTGGACAGGAGCTGCTGGAATCTGGCAGTGGCATGCATGGCCCCGTTGTCCAAGGGCTGCTGTGCTCGGTGCAGGAGCAGAGCCAGAAGCGCCAGCTCAGCTTCCCAGGGCTGACAGCAGCTGGGAAGCATTCGTAGCAGCCCGAGGCTTTGGCCAGGGAGCCTTCCCCAGCACATTGTGAAATCACATCCGCAGCCTGTGGCCTCTGGCAGGAACTTGCGCAGTTTCGGGAGCCAGAAGTGTCAAAGGGGCATCTGCTGGCCCCAGGGACCTTCTGACCCCTCTGACCTTGGGGGATGTGGCTTGTGGCCTGCCCACACTCCCCGGCTCAGCCCTGCCCTGCTCCAGGTCACAGGGCAGCACATCCTCACGCCAGGACCAATGTTTGGTTGCATGCTGTTCCTGGTTCGGTCCCCCTTAACACCCTGCCCCTGGAGCAGCTCTGCCAGCAGGCAAGCCTTCAGTGAACTGGGCCTGCCTACTGTGGTTTGGGGGGGCCTTGGGCCCACCATGGCCCCTGGTTGTGCCCTGGCACTGTCCTGCTGGGGGTACAGCAGTGCTCAGGGAGGGAGGGGGCCTGTTGGTACAGTGACTGGGCTGTAGTTGGGTGGAAGGACCTGCAGAGGACAGAGCCCTCCCAAGAGCCCAGACAGGCTCTCTCCGCCTCATCCCTGTTTACGCTGCCGGCACCTTCGCGAGCCGTGCGGGGCGCGGACGAGGCCAGACACGTGTTTTCGTTTAGCCCAGACAATGACTCAGCCGGCGCTGGGCTGTGAGCGGATGCGCTTGTCTCCTCTGGACATGGACCTGTCCCCAGTGCTGCGGGCAGACCTGGCTTCGGCCCCTGCATGTGGCCTCGGGGCCATGCAGCACCCAGCCCAGGGCATCCAGGGTGCGTTCCCGGCCCATGCTGGTGCCAGCTGGCCCTGGGCCACTACGGCCACTCAGCCATTGCCTGCACTTCACTTGGCACAGCCTCTCCTGGCCTTACTCACCCTCCTGACTCAGGGCCAACAGCTCCATAGCACCTGTCACGGCCCCAGGGCTGTGCCAGTGACTGTGCTGGTGGCTGTCCCTGCCACATGACCCCTTCTTGTTCCCTGGGCTGAAGCATCCCTGGGCCCCAGACCTCAGCCCTGAGGTACCCTTGGAGCAACAGCACCGGTGCCTTGGGCAGCCAGGCTGGCAGGAATCCTGCTGCTGCTGGAGTCTCTGTAGACCATGAGTGCTGCAGTAGAGCTGGGGACCTGAAACCCCATCTCCAGGTGCCATCCAGCATCCTGGCACTGTCAGTACTGTCACCTCCCACATGTTTCCTGAAGCCTCAGGCAGGGATTGGACAAGGTCTGGCTGCCCGCAGTTCCACTGTTTCTTCTTGTTCCAGAGGCCAAGCAGCTCCAACACCTCCTTCCACCATGAGCAGCTGTGGGAGTGCCATGGCAAGAGGCTGTCTTGGGAGCAGCTGTTGTAGCCACAGTGGCAACTATCCCTGCTAACATGTGCCCGTGACACCTGGCCTGGCTGTGCTTGGAAGCTGTGTCCCTGCCCAGAGGCAGAGCCGGACTCCCTGCCCGCTCCGCTGGGACAGAGGCACTGCAGGAGAGATGAAGCGCAGCCCCCCGGGCACGGGGTACAGGTCTAGTGACAGCAGCAGCACCCCGACACCTCCACGGTGACACAGCATGGAGGTTTTGATGGGGATAGAGTCGTGTCTTTACATATTAGGTGGTGTGGGGATTGGTGTTTGGGATTGGTGCTGGGAAAAGTGCTGGTAACAGACATATTTTTATTATGGCTGAGCAGCACTTGCACAGCTCGAGGCCTTTTCTGCTCCTCAGCCCACCAGTGAGGGGCAGTGGGGACACAAGGCTTTGGGAGGGGACACAGCCAGGACAGTGACCCCAGCTGACCCAAGGGATATTCCATACTGTATGGTGTCATGCTCAGCATATAGAGCTGGAGGAGGGGGGGGACATTAGGAGTTATGGCCATTTGTCTCTCCCAAGTCACCATCACACGTGCTGGAGCCCAGCTGTCCTGGGGATGGCTGAGCACTTGCCTGCCATGGGGTAGGGGTGAAGGAATTCCTTGGTTTGCTTTGCTTGTGCGTGGCTTTTGCATCACCTGTAAAACTGCCTTTACCTCAGCCCAGGAGTTTTCTCACTTTCACCCTCTCCATTCTCTCCCCACCCCACCGGGGGGAGTGAGGCTGTGGGGGCTCAGTTGCCCACTGGGGTTAAACCCCAACACGCAGCCAGGACAGGGACAAGGTGGATTTTTGGAGTTGTGCTAGAGGGCAGGAGCTGCTGCCCAGGGGGAGAGGCCTGAGGCCTCGGGAAGGTCGCTGTGGTGCAGGACCTCCGGTAGGAGTGGGAAGTGGGCAAGGGGATTCGGGGGTAGGACAAGCTGGGCTGGAGGGGCTGAAGTGGGAAGAAACGCTCGGGCACGACCAGAACCGTAGCCTGCGCGGACATCCAGTGCTCCTCTCGGCGCGGGCGCGGGCAGCTCCGGAGCGGGGGCGGCGGGTCCGTGGGTGGTGGGGCCGGGAGTGACGGGGCCGGGGGCGGCCGGGTTGCGCTGGGGTGGGGGCGGCCGGTGCCCGCGGCGGGGGCCGTGCCGGGGCGGGGGCGGCGGTCGCGGCGGAGCCGCATCCCGCGGAGGGCGGGCGCAGCCGGGCTGGCCCCGCGCCACGCGGAGGAGGAGCAGCAGATCCCCGGAGCACGTTAAAGAGCGAGGCCGAGCGCGGCGGGGAAGGAAGCGAACGGCTCCGTGGAGGCAACGGAGCGGCGGCCGCAGAGCGCCCGCCCCGGCCGGACCCAAGTTCCCGGCGGCGGCTCGGCCGGGCCCGGCGGTGGGTGCGGGATCGGGGCCGGTGGCCGAGCCCGCAGCCCCGCACCATGCCCGCCGCGCTGCCCAGCCTGCTGGCCTGGCTGGCGGTGCTGCTGCTAGGCAGGGCCCGCCCGGCCGACGCCTGCAGCTGCTCGCCCATCCACCCGCAGCAGGCCTTCTGCAACGCCGACGTAGGTGAGCGCCGCGGGGACCCCCGTCCCGAGCCCCGCCCGGCCCGGCCCGCGCCAACTTCCCAGCGGGGGAAGGGGCGGAAAGTTGGCGCGGGGCGGGCGGGGAGGGGGCAGAGCCCCCCGACTCCCGACACCTGCCCGCAGCCCCGGCCCGGCCCGGGGGTGTGTCGGCGGGCGCGGATGCGCGGCCGGGCGCGGTCCCTCCGTCCGGGCTGTGCCCGACCCTCCCCGCGCCTCCCGCCGTCTCGGGGGGACCCCCGCGCCCGCCATCCCTCCAGGGGGCGGCCGGAGCGCGGCTCCGCCGAGGCCGGTCCCCACTGGCCGCCTCCCCGGTGAGTGACACGGGTGGGCCCGGCCTCCCCCGACTCTGATGACACCGCGGAGGTACGTGGCAGCGCGGGGCTGGGGCCTGGGGGCGGCTGGGGCCCTCCAAGCATGGCCACGGCACGGGCCCAGAGCCCGGAGGAGCCCCCGGCCCCGGGAGCCACCGCCACGGGCTTGGTCACCCCCGTCTACTCCTTATTTCCAGGCATTTCCTTTCCCCCGTCCCACTTTGTTCGGCTTGGATGCTGCTGAAAGGGAGGGCTTGGCAGCGCCGGGATCTGGATTCCTCTTTCTATGAATAATGCCCTTATTAAATTTTAACATATGAACCGAACAGGCCGGCCCCAGTTCCCGGCGCTTCCCTTCCCGGGGCTGTTCCCAGGCTCAGCTGGAGAGGTAACATTCCCAAACACTGAGGCAGCCCCAACCTCTGGATGGCCCTGCCCTCTCCCTTGCTCCAGAGCCAGGATGCTCCTGACAGATTCCCAAGCTTCCCTTGCGCCTTCCAGAACCCACTCCTAGCCTTTCTCCCCCGTGAGGGCAACTCCTGCAGCACTTGGCTGCTGCTCCACATGCCCGGCTCTGCCCAGCCTCACAGTGAGGCACGTCGGGGACAGGGAGGATTTGAGACAAAATGGAGCACTGGATATTTGGAGGTGCTTCTGGAGGTGTCCCTGGCCCGCAGGATGCCCTGTGCCCCCTCTGGCAGCGCGGCTGTGGCTTCCCATCGCACTCCTGTCAGGATCAGCTTTCGGGGCACTTGTGACTCACTGCCTGTCGTGGGGTGCCGGCTCAGCCCTGACTCAGCTGCTGAGTCACCGTCTGTCTTGGCGGCCCCAGCTGTCTCCACCATCCCCTGGGAGGGCACAGCCTGGCTGGGCTTTGGTCTCCTGCTGCCCCACTACTCTCAGCAGGTGCCTGTCCTGCGAGTGCCCGGAGCCCATCCTGCCAGGGCAGCCTCCTCCCATCTGTGCTGCCGCCAGCACTGGCACCTTCTGGCTCCCAGCCCAGGTGCCCTGTGCTGCTCGTATGTCAGTCGTGCCTTGTGTGGGTCCGAGTGGGGACAGTGCTGGTTTTGGGGATGGAGCAGGGCGTGTCCTGGGATGATCCTGTGATCCCCAGCCTTTTGCTGCTTCTCATCTTCCCCCTGGATGCTCTCTGGAGCTGGGATGCTCCTCAGACAGCTCCATCCCTGCAGGTATGCAGAGCCCAGGGAGAGTGTGGGGCCCTTGGTGCTGCCGGGACCCTTCCCAGCTGCTGTGGCTGGAGGGACCCATGTCCAGGCTGGGTCCTTGACAGAGATGTGGTGGTGTGGGGATGGCTGATGTCCTGTGGTGCTGGGTGGGTGCACCCGAGGTGGCCAGTGGGCCCCAAGGCTCACACTCAGCCCTCAGTAGAGGTGATCAAGGTGAGTGCATTGTGGGGTCTTGGCCCTGGGGGCTGGCATTTCTGTTCCATAGCATGGGGAGTGCCTGCCATATCCCTCTGTGCCTCCCCATGGCCCCTTTGCTCTTGCACCTGCCCTGCAATCGCTCTGCCCTGGAGCAGGGCTGGAGCAGCTGCAGCCCAGGGCTGCACTTCCAAGCAGTGCAGGGGAAGGCCCATGCAACTCTGCTTTGGACATGGGGTGCCTGAGGGACTGGGGGTCATGGAGGGGCTTGGGTGTTGTGTCACTGGAGCTGGTGACTTGGAACAAGTGACCTGCCAGCCTACACTTGCGCATCCTGGCCAGTGAGATGTGCGGGGGGTTTCAGCAGGGCCCAAGGGCTTGGGGCTGCCCTGTCCACCGTCCCTCACTGGAGCCATGCCTGAGCAGTGGGGACTGGAGGTGCTCTGGCAGGGCCGCTCCACTACAGGAGATGCTCGGCTGCCTGGTGGGGCCACAACCAGGCCAGGGGCCACAGCAGGAAACCTGGCTTCTGCTCAGTCCCTTCTGGAGTAGCATGGGGATGTGGAGTGTGAGGGGGGTGATGCTCAGACCTTTTGGGCACGGCTGTGGCTTTGGCCCTGTGTGGCAGCACCACTCCTGGAGGGTCCGATGGGCTCGGTGCCGCCTGGGGCGGGGGCACCTGGACTGCGGCCCTTGGCAGTATTGTGCCGATTCCAGTCATCCCAGTGCTTGGTTCCCCGGGACGGGGGCACAGGAAGTGAGGGGGCTGCCAGCAGCCAGTAAGGACCGCGCAGAGGAGGAGGTTTGGTGGGAATGGTGAGAGCCGTCCGTGCCGGGGAGGTGCGGCTGCCTGCCGACCCCGCCGAGCCTGGCGGGGCCCGGCACTGCCGGTGCCCGGTGCCCTCCCGTGCGGAGGGGCCGTGGGCGGGCGCGGGGGCCGCGCTGAGTGGGCTCCCTGCGCTCCGTCACGGCCGGGATGACGCACGGCCATGGCAGACCCGCCGCCCCACGGGCACCGGGGAGCCCCCGCGGCCTCCCCACTGCGGGACCGCCCTGCTCAGCCCCGCACCTCCAGCCTCAGCATCTCTAAACCGCTGTGCCGGGGCGGGGCACCCACGGCTGCTGGGGTGCGGGCAGGCACTTGTGGGATGGTTGTTGCTCGTGTGCCAGGCAGAGCTGGGATGCAGGAGTCCCTGCCGGGGTGATTTGCCGGCTCTGCAGCTCTGCTGGGCTCAAGCGGGGCTGGAATGACCCCGGGGCTCCCTTCACTACAGAGACGGGTGCCTGGGCTGGCAGTGCCGGGTGAGCAACGGACAGTGCTGGCACTGGCAGCCGGCCCTTCTGCTCCGATGCTGCCAGCAGCCCAGGAGAAGGGAGCTTTGTTCCCTGGGCATCCAGCCTGGCACCAGCCTCCTGGATGCAGCCTCACAGTCCACGGCCACCAGTGCTTCCTGGGCAGCTGTGGGCAGGTGTGGGCAGGGTGGCTTGGAGAGGTTTGGGGTGGGATGGTGGAGGAAGCGGCAGCCAGTCAGGACACCCTAGGCTGGGAGGAGGGGGCCTGGGGCTAAAGGTCCTTTGTGCTGCCTCTCTGCCCATGGGGAACAGGTGGGCACAGCAGTGTCCTGAGCTGGGGCACCCTGTGTGAGGCCAGGGTGGATAAACCTCACAACTGGCAAGTCCAAAGAGACATCCTGGTGGGTTTGTGGCACTGAGTGACTGTGTGTCCCCAGCTTTGCTCCTGGAGCTGGTGGCTGCCCAGGCTGGCAGCAGGAGGGGTGGGTGACATGGCCAGTGGGGGCACTGGCATTTGGGGAGGTCTAACTGCTGGTCCCTATGCACCCAGGGGTTTTCTCCATCCCTCACCCAGTCTCCTTGTCCCGGGCTCTCCTCAGGGCTCTCTCCACCATCCCTGTGGCTGCCCTCCCCGCCACCCTGGTTCCTGGCGGGCGCGGAGCAGCTTGGCTGCACCGTGGGGTCTTGGCGGGGAAAGCACAGCGCGGCCGTCCCCTCCACAAAGCCGCACTGTTCAGAACAAATCCGCCCAGAATTGGGCTGCATTTTTGTCAAGTGATTCATCAGCACGTGAATGGAAAAGGCTGGAGCCCACTGAACCAGTAACCATTCCCCACACAGGAGCCATGGGGCCAGCACTGGTTGCACCCAAGTTAAGCCGCCGACACACAGGACCTGGCACACGTGGGGACACAGCGGCCGCAGGGCCAAGGGGCAAGGGGTGGCCCGTGCCTGCAGTGGCCCCAGCATGCTGCTGACAGAGGAGTGGGCGCTGTCCTCAGGCACAGCTGAGATGCTGCCAGTGGGCCTGGACAGCCCAGCCCTTCCCAAGGGATGGAAGCATGGCTGGGAAAGCTTCCAGTGCAGCCCTGGTACCAGCAGCCATTGCATGCCCCAGCCCTGCACAGAGCGAGTGCCCCCCTTGACCAGGGACAGCTGTTACAGGAAACCTCTTCCCTGCTCCCTGCTCACGCTGGCGCCACCCTCACCTTTCCAGAGTAAGCACCACTTTGTTGGTGCTTGCTGGTGCCCACGTGTGGCTGTGCCCCCCTGAC